CCCCCAAAACCCCAAAACCCCAAAACCCCTAATTTTTATTAAAAAATTGAAAATTTTTTAAAAATGGAAGAAATGAAACAGAAATTGGAAGAAATTACAGCACAAAATCAAGAAATTGATAAGGAAAATGAACAAATTTTGGAAAGGTGTGTTGGCTTTAAGATGATATTAAATTTTATAACTGGAAAAACTGTTTTGCAGTTGAATTTGAAGAAACTTCCGAAGAAGGAATTTTAAGAATTTGGGTCTTGAGTGATGGGCTAATAGAGGTATAGAAGAACGAAGTTGATGAAACAGATATCAGGCTTGGATGGTGCAGGGGATTTGAGTTGGGCTGGTGCAGGAAGTGTGAAAAAGAGAATCCTTGGTAAATTTAGGTGGAAACACTTTTTAGACAAAGAGGAAATTGTAAAAGATCTTAGCAACGGTATTCTGGTTATTTTAGGATTTAGAACTGTATGTGAAAAAGAAGCAAAATGAGGTAAATTTATTTGTGTTAATAGTAGTATATTATATAAATTGTAATTAAATTATTATTTCTTCATAAATCCTTTGCTAAAAATCTTCTTCTTTAAAATATTTAATCATACAATATTTTTTTAAAGAAATTTGTTAGACACAAAACCATCAATTCAACTAAACCAACTTTGCTAATTTTCTTTAGACATTACTAAAAACAGTAAACGAGCTCAAAACAAAGCTGAAAAATCTTGAAGATATTGAAAATAGACACACTGAGCTTCAAGAAGAGGTACATTAACTCCCTTCCATTCCCCCTAAGAATCCTTCACCCTTCACACTCCCTAACCCCCCTTCTAGACACAAAACTTCACCTAAAAGCCCTCACACCCGCCACTGCTTCTCTCTTCACAAATAAACTCAAGTAATCCCCTCTCTCACCCCAGCTACGCCCTCCAATTCCTCAAAACCAACAAGGACTTCCTCAAGTCCCTCTACCCCCCTTCTTCCCCTCCAAATCCCCAAGACCAGAACCCCACTGCCCCATACCTTGTGTAAGACACTTCTAAAAGTCCTTTTGGAGAACCCCGAGAGCTAGTTTAGGGCTTTAACTGATTTGGACTGATATCTTTAGTCCTATGTATTCTATGATTACTGGTTACTTTGATTTTATATCATAGAAAGATCCAGTAAATTCTCTATATATCAAAAATGTATCAAATTCCAATCTCTACACAAACTATAGCAAAATTTCCTCTGTTTAGTGACTTGGCCTCATAATCACAATCCAACATCAACATTTTACTAAAAATTCTTAGCTAGTGCACTCTCTCTAACTGTGAATAGGTCATTACAGAAGAAAAATACTGAATATGAACAAAGCATAGCCCAACTTACCCAAACTAAGAAGAAGATGCAAGAATTTATGCTAAACAATTGTACTGAAGGTATGCAGCTAGTAATAGGAGCCAGTTTTAAAGAGCTCTCTTTATATGGAATAGCAGTAGTGTCATAAGGCGAGAGACTTTCATAAAAATTGGTCATTTTTAAAGTTTGATTTAATCTATCTCACACATAGCTATTTAATCTCTTTGAGATGGTTGGCTATAATCTTCATTACACATCCTAAATCTACCAAAATCTCTGCTAATCACATTGTTATAGACTCAAATGGCCAGTCTCCTCCTGTTCCAAAGAGAGGTACTAAGGAGGGGTTGCAATAGAGAAACCTGATGTTTGATTTAATATTGTATAATCAACCTGAACAGTAAAGATTGGGGTTTTGGGGTTTTGGGGTTTTGGGGTTTTGGGGTTTTGGGG